TCTTAGGCCAGATACATAAAGGCTGAGAAACCTGGTATCGACAGACACTCTTGCAGTGCATTTAAAATTGATTCATTAAAAGATCGGATCTTCTTTTCAATTAATAGTTGTTTCTTTAACTATAACTATCTGCCAATCCTAGTGGAAATGTACCTCAAAAGCCGGTTGATCCCCGGCTTTATCCGCGCTATTTATTGTCTTTATCGTTAGGAAGAAGTTATATGTACGACTTGTATTTATTGTAGGTTAATACACTTTACGTTGAAAGACATAATATTGGTAAGTACATAACATGTGTGCTCCTTTTCATGCATATGCCCTACTGTTCACTCTTACATGCATTCAGGCTAAGTGTTATATGGCCTTATCGACTGCTCGAATGCATTAAGACCAAGAGGGTATGCCCCCTATTTCGTTCTCATTTATACATTTAAATGATCTCCCTGTTCATTACATCTTTATGCAATATGAAAAAAGTGTCTAAATATTTCTCACGAAGATTAAGGTTTCTTGAACTGCTGATTTATGCTCTGGCTTCGAAACAATTGTAGAACAGACCTATCGAATGAGTTAGTGAACCAAAGACCAATACTAATGCCGAGAACCAATATCACGTCTGTTAGCACTTACCTTTTGACATTACCGATTTCGCAACAGCTTGGATTTCCATTACCGACAATCTAATACTCACTTTTATCGATTCTAAATAACTTCCTCATTCATATTTAGTGGTCAATCATAATTACAGTCAGGCATTAAATAATTATTAGTGTATGATTGTATTCGTTGAACTGTTTTTTATTGAGTGGTGAATATTCGTAGTTCGATCCAATCAGAGGACAATGGCGGGACCACGAAGCAGTTATTGCTAGTTCTGAATAGGAATCTCAGTCACACTAGGTCTGCAAGGCGAAGTAAGGGCTGATAGTTACATTTTTAAAACGAAATGAATAGGTACCCAGGAGCCATTAAGGTTCATTTGATCTTGCCTCCTAGACGATTATCCCATCCTCCTTAGACTGCGGTTTCGGCCTTGCCTAGGTATCATCATAACTTCCAACAGGACTTGAAAGCCGGTTGCGTGCAATTGGCGGCAACTTGCAGCCACGCGGCATTAAGTCGCAGATCAGGCGTAACTTTCAAGGCAAGCCAGGCCTCTTCTAAATAACAATTATGATGGGATTATCGATGAGATAAACTCTAATTTCTCATTACAATCGAAACTATAATTCTCAAACAAGAATGTAAGTCAAGGCTGCAGTTTATCCTAAGATAAGAAAAACACTTAAGTGGAAAGACTCAATGAAATTGAGAGGCCTACAGGTTTCATTGTAAGAATTTCGGCTAGGGCAACTTAAATTCCTATAAATACAAATGAGTCTCGAAGCTTACTCATATTAGGTGTATGTCGGCTTTGTGATAGCATGCCTTGGTGGACTCTCTTTTGCCCCGATTTCGTGAACATAATAACGTAGCTGTAAGCAAGAAATAAGGAATACTATGTAAAGGTGATTGGCATAGTTACTAGTGTAGACTTTGATCTTTCTCCATAGTTGTGAAATTGACTAAACTGCCTTCATTAGGAATGGAATTCTCAGTCCCATATTGTAAAACTAATACTAGGTACTCTCAAGAATTAATAATGTTAATCTCTATATCTGCACACTTTTATCTTCATCTGATATATTCTTAGATGGTCCCCATCAAGTTGCAAATCTGACCAAACTCAACGGCCTAATGACACTGTCGCTACTACGGCCCGTCCAGGCGCCGCGCGTTCTTTCGTACCTGGACAGTCTGGCCGAGTCGACGGCAGGTCATCTGGGGCGAGTATGGGTGGAGAAAAAGTACAGACTGAACATGGAGTCACAGCGCGAGTGAGTTCTGGGGCAGGGTCTGCACTGGCTAGTTCAGCGGTTACGGGTGCTAAAGCGGGGCTACCAGGCGCATCAAAACCAGCTGATGTCGAAATAGACGACTTTATTTTGTCCGGTATTATGGATTTGGGGGGCAGTCGAGGCGATGGCAGAGGTAACGAAGCCAACGAGATGGGTGCTGGTGCCTCAGGAGCGGGCCGATATGGCCACCAGAGTACAGGGCAAACCGAGGAACGTGATCAACTGGTAGAGAACATGAGAAGAAGCAGCAAGAAGTTCGGCTCTCTGGCTGGTGGAACTGAGATCGAGGTGAAGCGGAGTCGCATTTTCGTGGCTCAATATCGCCATTATTCTTGATGTCGAAATTTTTTTCATCTTGATCACATTTTTAATTTCGCATTGCGCATATCCAAGCCACAACAACGATGTA